ATGAAAATATGCCGCTCAAACACTATACTTTTCTGCTCACACTGAAAAAAAATTAGAGGGAACATTGCTTGGGACACAGCAACGGCCATAAATATGAACCAGTCGCCAAGCATCTGAATCTTGATCACATGTACATGAAAATGTGGCAAAGGTGGTAACTGTGAAAAACAGTCATATCTCACATTTTTCAATGCCGTTGTAACTTTCAACGGTCACTAAATGAACTATTGTGAGTTGCGAACTACCTGTAGGTTATTTCCTAAACCAAATTCTCACTTAATACACAATTCATTGTATGACAGATAAAATTGATATAGCTTTTACCTTTATATACAGATCATAGACATCACTAAAGAAGTTTTTGATTCCATCTTCTTGTCTTACATCATGAAGCATTATAAATCTCATATGTAGAAAAAGTTAAGAAAACAAATGTGTTTTTAAAGATTTACATGCAATCTAGCTAAAGCTACATGCCACACAATTTAAATCCTATATTTAAAAAAAGGCAGCAAAATATTTTTAAAAAACAACCTTTGGAACAGAATATATTTGCCCAACCAAATATATGTGAAAAATTGAAGTGGACACACACAAATATAATCCAGAGAGAACATCATAAGCCAGTGTTTCTCAAAACATAGCAACTTTAAGATGGGTAGACTTCAGGAATTCAACTCCAGGAATTCTGGGAGTTGAAGTCCACCCATCTTAAAGTTGCTGAGATTGATAAACTCTGCCATAAGCTATGGCAATTGGGGAAAATGACCCTAAAATTCTTCACTCAGTATCACATTTTAGGCTCAGACTAAGAAGGGACCGGAGAAGTACACAACCAAGTGTCCAGATGCTAGACCACAGCATCTTTGAAGTTTCTTTGAAATCCAATTCTTAACAAATGAGTGCAGCGTTTCCAATTAGGTTTTCATTTGTTTTAGAAACTGCATTTCTTTATACAGATGACATTCAAAAGTTTTTGTTTAATATCTGCAAGTTATAAAAAACATGTTTTTCAAAAAGTATTCTTTGGTTCATGACCACAAAGCTGACTCTTCTTGCCCAGGATTTTGATAAATGATAAATAATAGAATGACTATCTCAGATCAAAGTATTTATTACTGAAAACATATAGGCTGAAAGAAGAAAAAGATGAAAAATAATCAAAGAAAAGGTAAGTTTGTAGATCTATTTCGTTGAGCAAGTAGTCTTCGAGATACCACAACAGCCTTTTGAAGTTATGACACCCCCTGACAACCATAAATGGTTATGGCCATTTGGTGCATGCTAGCTGCTTTTTGTTTATAGCTAGTTTTTCTTCATCTCAAGGCAAACAAGATGTAGAAAGGACTTTTTACTTGTTTTCTTCTTTTCCTCCCCTCTTTAGCCTGACAGTAACTTTCAAGATAGGCAACTTACAGATTTTGTCACTCTCTTTCCAGCATGTAGTAAGTTTAGCAAAGTGGATACAAGGGATTGAAATGGGAGGGCAGAGACAGAGAATGTATTTTCAGCATCCAATAAGAGAGGTATGTGTGTGTGTGAAGATCAGGAAGTCTGTCCCTCCCAGCGTGTTTTGCTTTCTTTATTAAGAAATTTAAATTTCTGGTTTTGAGAAGTTTATCCTGAAGCTGCTGCCTTTGCATGCAGCAGCTGGCTTCCCCAAAACCTAGGAGAGATTTGCAGTCTACCAATGATCAGGTGATTGGAGCAGAGGTTCAGCCCATAAGCATCAGCCAAGCACTGAGGCTTGCTTGGAAGCCTCTCTGGCATTGGTATACAGCACTAGGTCCTAATCTAATTGGGCTCTTTCCCTTGCTGAGCTGTTTTTTTGCTGTGCCAAGGTTTTTGTTGCTTCTCTGCCTCCTTTATTGACCCAGCTGGATGGCGGACCTTCCCACCCATGAGGTACCCTATGCTCACTTAATGACCCATACATTTGTTTAATGATGGCATCAGGAAAAGTAGGGAGTGGGTGTTGTTAAGGAAAGCTCTCTCATACTCAACTATTATCATCATAATGGGGAAGGCTCCACTACAGTCATAAGTTGAAGATTACCTGTATATAGATAGTCTTCTACTTACTTGAGCCCAAAATTTCCGTTCCTAAGCAAGATAGTTGCTAAGTGAGCTTTGCCCCATTTTACAACAGTTCTTACTACAGTTGCTAAGTGACTCATTAATAACACAGCTGTTAAGTGAAGCTGGCTTCCCCACTGGCTTTGTCAGGTCACAAAATGATCACCTGAACCTGGGCCACTGCAAACGTGTCAATAAGTTCAATACATGTCAGTTGCCAAGAGTCCATAATTTGAGCACATGACCATGGGGATGCTGTAGTGACATTTGAAAACAGTCATGTCACTTTTTTCAGTGCCATTATATCCTCAAATAGTCACTAAACAAATGGTTGTAAGTCTACTTGTATTCTTCCATGTATTTCAGATATCAGGAATTTATGGGGAAGTTAGACTAGGTAAGAAATACATAAGAAAATTCAGATCCAGAAAGATGAGTTCTAAGCAGAAATTAATGAATATTTAAATACAACATTTGATAGATTTTTCTCTTAATCCCCGTTCCAAATATGACAACATCAGGAATCTACTTTTTATGACAAAATGATCACCCTATCTTACAAAAACTAATACAAAAGCAGGCGACGCATTACACAATTCTGTTGCGTGTAAGCAGAATGGATACCATCATGCCTGTCCTTTTTATAACCTATCAGAATTTGGACATGGTCACACCATACACTGAACTAGAAACTAGCCATCTAAACTTTCACATATGCACAAAGCTACCCCTTGTAGTTAGCTAATTCAATGTGTGATCACTTTTGGGGCAGCTAAAGGAAGTAAGGAGAGTGGAGGATTACCAGATCTCTGTATGAAGGATATTCTACAGGGCAGGGTGCACTTCCTAGCTTCTGTTAGAGGAAAACATTTAAGGAACCTGGAGTGTGCCCATCCTATCTGATCTGGTGAAATAGATAGAGGCAATCCTGCAAGTAATGTGGATCGATGCCATTAAGGACTTTAAATATTATACTTCCCAAAGACCTATCAGATCCCACAGATTAGGCCTCCTCCGAATTCCATCTGCCGGCCAGTGTCGGCTGGCGACTCCTCAGGGGAGGGCCTTCTCTGTGGCTGCTCCGGCCCTCTGGAACGATCTCCCCATGGAGATCCGGACCCTCACTACCCCCCCGGCCCTCCGCAAAGCAGTTCCGGCAGGCCTGGGGCTGTTGAACTATCCAGCCCCACTCGAGGTTGTTGTTTTTTATTTATTTATTTTTTTGTATCCCCTCCCTTTTTATTGTTAGCCGCCCTGAGTCCCTCGGGAATAGGGCGGCATACAAACTCAATAAATTGAATTGAAATTGAATACTTATTGCTGAATCTCTACATTTTTAATGACCAAAAGTCACATTTGTGAGATGGTTTGATAACTACATATTATAAAATGGATGAGAAACCTGTAGACTTCTGGATGCAACTTAAATACACCAACTATTTCAGCGACCATGGCAATAGCAATAGCACTTAGACTTATACACCGCTTCACAATGCTTTATAGCCCTCTCTAAGCGGTTTATAGAGTCAGCATATTGCCCCCAACAATCTGGGGCCTCATTTTACTGATCTTGGAAGGATGGAAGGCTGAGTCAACCTTGAGTCGGTGAGACTTGAACTGCCAGCAGCCAGCAGAAGTAGCCTGCAGTACTGCATTCTAACCACTGCGCCACGACGGCTCATGGTAAGAAATGTGGAAAATTATTGTTTACGAACATCTGGAAGGCCATAGGCTTTTCATCTCTATTCTGAAATGTTCTTATAGCATTGCAACAAAAAAGGATATGACCTGCAGTGACGAAGGCAGAAACAAACCATTCATTAAATTTATCCACAGTCTTCAAGTACATATTATTTGTTAACCACATGTTTTCATCTACTAGGTCAAGTGCAGCGTGAGCTATGAACTGATTCAAGTGGCGATGGTCATCCTGAGAGGAAAAATAAAGGTCAACTCTAAATACTGAAAATAAAAAGTATAAAATAACTTAGATATTTTTTTCATGAATAACATACAATATTAAGCTACTTGCTTAAACAATGTAAAATATGTGCTATAATATACAACTATGAACAGAATAAATTCAGACTAATGCAATTAGATACTTGTATGTAGTTTAGAAAATTTATTTTTTGCAGTTTTTAGGAGAAAAAAGGGTGATTCCAAATATTTATTCATACTGAAATATATCCTTTTATACTAAATCATAGTTAAGTCATAAAAGTTGGTCCAATTTATATCGTAGACAGAAAGACAGAAATCAAATAAAGGGATGTTCATCAGGATACTTAATCCAGGTGAGGAGGCTGCAGACCTGAATATATAAAATAATTTTCAATAGCAATAAAAAATCTATTAAGTTCCAAAATCAAATTAACAAAGAATCTGAGTGATTAAGTAATAGAATGATTTGATACTATATATTGTGCTTTTGAACAAGATTTCATACCTTAGATTCTACTTTACCAGCTGGTAGAAATTCCATTTCAAATACAGGATTATCATGGTGACCTACAATTACAAAATAGTAGCTTCCCGACATAATGAAATATGGCCTCTTCTGAAAGAGAACAGAATCATGCAGCTAGAAAAGAAGTAGTTTGTAGAAAAAATATTGTCACATATATTAAATGTTAAAGCATTTATAGCAGTCTTGATTAATGAAGATAATGAATCCTATGAAGTTCTTGCTATTTGATACTATTTAAAATTATATTTATATATAAAGTATTATAATTGGCTCCACCTCAATGGGAATGAAAAATTTAAATATATATTTTTATTAACGAATTACAGTAAAGGTTGGAAAGAAAATGCTTAAAATTTAAATTTACTGTTAAAGTCACAAAGTATAATTTTGTTTGAGTTCCATGCAAAGTTCTTTCCCAACCTGTTATCTGAGATTTGTATCATAAATTTCAGTTCACATTTATTGAAATATCAATTCTAATATTGTATTAGAATTTATTGTATTCCAATAAATGTCAATTATACTGTTCCAATCAATACAAGTTATGAAATACATTCGTACATTATGAAAAATAACCCTTTTTACCTTGTTGTCAGTTGAAAATTTCTCACAATTATTTATGTAAATAATATTTTTTAAAAGATATTACTGGGGGATGGGATGCATAATATCCCCACTTTTTCATCTGGCTATAACTATGGTTAAGTTTATTGTTTTTTAAAAAAATAGTATATTCGATCAGAATAAAACTTTCTATTTCTTTTAAATAAACTCAACAAAGTTTCAGATAATTATACTATGGTATTTATTTGTTCATTTATGGAAATAATCTGTTCCTTGAGCACCTTCTTAAATATAAGGAAACATAATAGAAGTCTATTAGAATATTAGAAAATATATTCCAGATGATCATAATAAAATGTTAAATAGCTACCCAGACGATACTAATTCCAAATTCAATAGCCCTCCAGGGGCGGGGCAGATAACCTGAAACATCTGAATTCTATACCAGAAATTCCATTCTGACTTTCAAGTAGAGATTTTCCAGGGTTACAAACAGCCTTATATTTCACTTATTCCATGTTGAAAATTTCTACTTTTATAGTGCACTGCTGTTGTTTATCTTTCCCTATTAAAAAACAAAATACTATAAATATCATCTATCCACTTTTAGAGAATCCAAGGAAAGGAAAGGAAATGGGGGGGGGGGAATCCAGCTCACCCGAGGCCGTTCAGCTGCCGGGTTTGAAAGAGCTCTCAAACCCTTCCTCCGCAGGACACTCGGCGCTGTTTGATGTCGTCAGAAGGCCGCCCCCTTTTCTTTTTCTTTTAAAGCGCGAATTAGAAAATAGCCCCGCGCGTTCTCGTGAGAATTCTGGGATAGTAACGCGTCTGATCGTTGATGGTAGCAATAGCAACAAGGGCGGGATTGGGAGAGGCGGTACAGGGCGCATCGTCATTCCTTCGTGGGAGGGCTGTCAGGAGATCCTTTACCTGTTTGGGTTTTGGGTTTTTTTGGTGGATCGTTAGTGGAACGGCGGTTTTCTTCTCTGCAGCGGTGTCGAGTTTGGTGCGTTATGTCTGCCTGTTCTTAGCGCAAGTTTTTACCTCCCCCGTTTCTCCGATCTCCAGTGTGTCCAAAATGAACCCTGAAGCGAGTCAGGCTGTGGAGGGAGAGGGGTGGGGAAAGTAGTCTGAAATAAATGTGTGATGTTTGTGAGACGGAAGTGGAGCAGATATTCTGGAGGAAGGATTTGTTTTAACTGGGTTGAACTTATTGCTTTGTTCTTTGCAGAGCAATGGATGGAATTGTTGCTTTGGGTATTGTTACTTCAATATTAGAGTCTGAAGCTTTCTATCACAGTAATTAAAATTGCCATTGCTAGTTTCTTTTATTTGTAAATAAAAACCAAACTTTTATATGATACAAAGTGGAAAAGTATCAAATGAGAGAAAAGCTTTGTAAGGACACAAAACAGAAGTATACATCTAGCAAGTAAATAAAATACATAAAGAGGGCTTAGGGCATTAGAGTCTGGCAACTTTTAATGATAGCCTGACTTAACTTTCTTTTCTGAACCTGGTCTGCAGATGTGCTGGATCTCACTATGTAATATTCACCTATCACTTGTACCCAACACTGAAAGTTATGGGTGTTAAAATACAGCACATCTGGAGAGCAAGTTGAACAAGGCTAAAAAAATAAGTAGCGACTGATTTAAAAAAAATTATTGTTTACCATTACAATTGAGAATCATTTTGGTCTAGAGCAGGGATGTCAAACTCGATGTCATTGAGGGCTGCATCAGGGTTGTGGCAAAATAGGAATAGGATTTAGTAGCAGAGATGATTGCAGTATTAGAAGATCTTTTTTTTTTTTTTTGCTTATATTCCATGAACTGTCCTTTGTCTGTTTACTATTATGGCAGTGGCCCCTAACCTTTTGGGTGCTGGGGATCCGTTCTGTGGAGAAGAATGTTTTTTTCCACAGACGGGAGGAAGTGATTTCACGCTGCCTGGATCCCTCCTGTGGGCTTCGCTTGCTTGTACGGACCAGTTCCTGTTGGGCCACAGACAGTCCACGGCCCAGAGTTTGGGACTATGTGTTGTAGCATAGCATTCCTTTTTTTGATATTCTCCTTATGAGAGATAGATGTGTTGTTAATTGTACTTCTCCAAGGCTTTCTTGTACAGATGTTAACAGAAATGGTGGAATACAATTTCTGTAAGGAGACCTGTAGTGCAGAAACTCAGACAAGTTCAAGTGTTTGACCTCGGTGGCCGGGTGGGTGTGGCCATGGTGGGCGTGATCAGCTCAACATCACTCGTGTTGGGGGCACCCCTCCCAGGTTCTGTTTTTCTGCTGTGATGGCCTATAGCACTCTGCCAATGAAAATGGAGCTCGGGAGTGTTGCATGTGGCCCTCCCGAGCTCCGTGTGTGGCCCTCCCGAGCTCCATTTTCACTGGCAGAGCGCTGCAGGACCCCATTACAGTTGAAAACGGAGTTCGGCCGGACATGGCCTTCCTGAGCTCTGTTTTCACTGGCAGAGGCACCGTAAGCTGGCCCTTTGTGGGTCAGATCTAAGCATCCTGTGGGCTGGATCAAGCCTGCTGGCCTTGAGTTTGACACTCCTGGTCTAGAGGTTAAGGCACCAGGATGTAAACCAGGAGACTGTGAGTCCAACGTTAGCCATGAAAGCCAGCTGGCTGACTTTGGACCACTCACTCACTCTCAGCCCAACCTACCTCGCAGGGTTGTTGTGGGTAAAATAGGAGGAGGAAGATGTGAAGAGTTGATTATCGCTATTCTTATTTATGATCTTAACTTCCCAAAATGAATCTGTACCATTATTTATGTAGTTCAGTTATTCAAACTATTTCTTTATGTATCTAAGTCTTTGTGCATTTGACAAACTGAATTCTAGTCTATGAAAGCTTAAGCAGTTGTAGTTAAATGAGTGAAATATTACAGCATTTTTTTTGCTTAAAGAAAGTTGTAGTTAAATGAGTGAAATATTACAGCATTTTTTGTTGTTTTGCTGTACATTACTCATTCTTCCAAACATTTAATTTTTAAAATGTTGCAATGTAGATTTCAGCATGTGGTGCTTAGTATTTTAATGGTGTCTATTTATATTGCCAGATATGTTACTGAAAAATTGGATTATGGATATAAAAATATTACATTTTTTTTCATGTTTTCAGATTCTGATGTCTTCATCTGAATTTAAAGCTCTGTCACAAGATGACCTCCGAAAACAATTATACCAGACATTTAAAAACCGAGGCGTTTTGGACACACTTAAGGTCTTTGATTTAAAATAGATTAAAATTAGGATGATTTGGGTCTAAATCTTGGCAAAATCAGCTGAATATTTGTTATACCAATTTAATTTAAACTTTTGTTTAAAATGCAGTAGCTTACACTTTAAATGATGCTGGGTATACTAAAATATTTTGTATATTGGTAACAGTAGTGATAAAATATGTGACACCTTACAAATATGCAGTTTGTGATGTATTATTGATTCATACTTCTATTAGAAAGATGTCTTTACTAGTTGCATACACTTCTTTCCGGTGCATTTTTGGGGAAGAAAAACCTATAATCTAAGATTCATACAGTAATTTAAATTCAGAGATATTAAATGTGGTTCCCTTTTTAGCCACTTTCATATGAATTATTAAATTTTAAATTCCTGCCATTTTAAAATGTGCAAGCTTGTATGCACCTAACAGATTTAACCCTAATACACAAATTAAGACACACTTGCTGTGGAAATCAAAGCATTCCAGCACTGCCCATATTTATGTTGTGACTACTAATGTTTCTCATAAAACTCTTGCTCTGCTCAAATTATAGTTTGGCTGCCAAAAGATTGCCCAGTCCTAATCTTTAAAATTAGAGTGCATTTTCATTTTATTCAAGGGAGCTTTTCAAATATTCTCAATGCAGATCTGATCAAAACATTAATTAGGAGTGTATAAAATGACATTCATAACATTTAATTAGTGATATCCACCTTGTGCTTTTCTAAACTCATTCCAAAGTATATCCCCCAAACCATAGCTTTCTCCTTAATGTAAATTATTGCAAAACCAATACCCAACATTAGGTATAATATAGCACATAACTCAGTTTCATCTTTCCAGATTTAAAACTTCACTAGTTATAATGTATATACCCTGCTTTTCTCCAGAAGGGAAGTTTAAAACAACAGTAATGAATTTTTTTGTTGTTTCAGATGCAACTCCGTAAGCAGCTCATACATGAATTAATGAATCCAGTTTTATGTAGAGAAATTCTCCCAAAGTCTACTTCTAGTGAATGCAGTTCATTGATCATTGTTGCATGTAATAGTTTGGTGGCAGATCATTTGCGGAGATGTGGCTATGAATATTCACTGTCTATTTTTTACCCAGAAAGTGGATTAGAAAAGGATAAAGTGAGTACTTTCCTCTTCGAAAGTGGAGAGATATTTCCTGAGCATGTTTCTGCCAATCAAGTTGCAATCTTGTTGTTATATCCTGATCATGTTTCTGAAACCAAAATAGGAGCTGAGTAGTTTTTTCTGTTTTTTGTTACAGTGTGCCTTCTTAATTTAGGACTGGTACCCAAAATTATTTTTTAATCTATTGCAAGAATTTCTCAACTTAAGGCAATTTGCTTAACTATGGTTCAAATTAATGTCAGTCTTGGAAAGGGAAGTTTATGGCCTGTAAAGCACTCTCAACGATCGCAAAATATTGCACCGTCCCTCATGTGATCATGATCTGAGTGTTTGGCAACTTGTCTGTACTTATGACCAGTTGCCAAGCATTCTACAGACAGGTGATCTCTGTTTGCAATCTTCTTTGCCAGCTTTCCCAGAAAGCCAGTGGGGAAGCTGGCAGAGAAGATTGCAAGCTGCTGCCATCTGCTGAAGGCTTCTCATATTTGGGGGTTAGCTGAAAAAACTCCCTGCCAAAGGATTTCAGCTCTCTGCCTGATAGCCAAAGGGAATTGTAGATGGAGGCATTTTGTTGGCTATAGAAAAGGAGAAAATGTTGACTTATATTTTGAAGTACTGTCTTTTGCCATTTCCAATATCATGATATTTTATTTTATTGTTCTCAGCTATATAGAATTTAAAATATGTAGATGATGGTTAAGAACTTACTTTTCTTTTTCTGTAGGAGCTTAGTATACAAGATCTGCTCCAGATAATTAGGATCAGTCCAAGAAGTGACCTTTATAAAATGCTGGTAAAAGAATATTACTTCAACAAAATTTATGCATTCAGCTCCTGGTAATGAACATTGTTTTGAATAAATGGATTTATGTTTACAGATTTCAGATTTAACAAAAACCAGCAAGAAAGGTATGACTTTCAATTTATTTGTTTTAAACTGTTCAGTGATACGTACGCATAATTATAAGCTATTCAAAGATGTTGAGGAAATGGATGTCATAAAAACCTGCTAACTAAAATGTTAAAAATGCTAACCTTGTCCATTACAGAGATCTTATTCCTGCTTACTGTGCAAGCAATTGATCACAAGCTAGGCTCTTATGGGCTTTCACCATTATTCTTAATGTCCCTAGGCTTTGAGCAAGCAAAGCAAGTAGTAAT